AACAATAAAAAAATAAAAAATAAATCGAAGGATAATGACAATGATAGATTTTACTAATTTATCCAACTCAAACTTGCAATTATTTTCATTTAAAACACCACCACATGTACCATCATCCTTTTTCTCCCAGTCCTTAAACAAATTTTCTCTGTATCAATTCTATTGCATTAAAATTTATGCCTCCCATTATACGCTCCACTATTTGTATATATATATGTACATATGTAGAAAAATTTAAGCATATTTTCTCATTCTCATCGAATTCTAATTCCTATTAACCTCCTGCTATTAATTTGTATTTGAATTAATCCCTCAATTTCAACTTCCTATTGTAAAGTTTTTATTTTTAAAATTTCTGTTTTTTACTTTTTCTTGTTTTTTTTTTTTTTTTGGAAGTCCGATATAGAATAATAAATAAAAATGTTGAAATGTCCTGATGTTGAATGAAAATTACCACCGATTAACTTTGATTGTTTTAAAACAAAAAAAAATAAAATTATAATGAAGACAAAAATGTTATAAGGATTAGATTAAATCGATTTTAAGGTCCTTGAAATTGATATAGCAATTGGATTATAATGGAGTTAAAAGAAAATGTTGTGAAATTAAAAAATTTTGTGAAATTAGGGTAGAAATTATTGAGTAGTTTTGTTTCTACAACTAAAAAATTTAAGATTTTTTCTCTTTTTTGAATAATTTGACTAACTATTAGGCACAGGAAGCTTTAAACTTCAACAAAACCTACATGTTGCCCAAATTTATTTTCAGATGACGCGAAAGATGATTTTCAGATGAGTCTAAAACCGAATTGTGTTCAAATACATGAATACATGAATTTGTGTTCGAATACATGAATAAATGCATACATGCAATGCAATGGATGAGTTGTGCTCAAAATAGAAACTTTAATTTAAATAAGATAAATTTACAGTGTTGTGGCAAAGATGAGATTCAACTAATATTCAACAGCACTTTTGAAGTAGATGATAATATCAACCAAAAGAATTAAAAAAAAACGAAGTTCATTCTGTTCCTTACCTTTTGGAATACTATTGAACTACATTATTGAATACTATTGAATACTATTGAACTATAGACAGACACGTTGAGCTACAGACAAACACAATTCAAGAAAGATTGTTAAAATACTCGCCCGGTCTAATAAATACTATATTTTCTCTTATCTGGGATTGAAATAGTAGGGTAACCTTAGTTTGAGCTTCCTTTTCTGAATTTACTGAAATAAAATGAAAATTTGCAATAGAAACTTACTAATTTAAATTTTGTCTACAGAAATTAAGACAAATATAACACAGTGTCCGCGTTTTAAAACTTCTGTTATGTAAAAATTTCTTAAAATTCTACTGAAATGTTAAAAAACTTATTAAAGTTGAAGTTCTCTTTCACTTTACATTCATTCTCTTCAATAATGTGCTCTTATGCAAAATTTTCGCATATAAAATAAAAAATAATTGAAGAGAGGGAATTTTAACCAAAAATATAAAAGAGATAAATTAAGTCATTAGTTAACAGCCAGCCACAACAATGGTAAAATTTCACAAAAAAAATAAAAATAACAAAAACAAAATTACAAAGAACAGAAATACAAACACTATTCCCGCTTTCCACCACTCTGAATGTCAATGGGAGGGTGATGTCTGCTACGAACAAAAACAAAACAAATTATACTTAAACGTTTTCATTTTTCTAGATTATTTTTAAAAGAAAATCCAAAAAAAACGAAAAGAAAAATTAGTTTTTATTTATTTTTTCATTGGCTTTAAAAGATAACGGTTAAGGATAAATGTAAAAAGTAAATAATCACAACGATTAGAACTTTTTCATAGTAATTTTCAAGAATTAGAAATTTTTTGTATTATGAAGAAATTGTGAATAATAAAATCTTAGGCTTACAAGGAATTGTAATGAATCTTGTGTTTGTGTGTAAGAAAACAACTTCAATATGTAATGTATGTAAGTCTCCCAAAATAATTACTATTCAAATGTTGTCGTTTTATAAAGGAAGAACGAAGAAGAAGCATACAAAATGCCGGTATACCAGATAACGTTCAACAAATTGTTAATTTTAAAGCATGGCATATCTTACAACAATGTGATCATGAGGAGTCTTTAATAATATCTATAAGAAAGTTTATTTTTAAAATGTTTCACTATTACTCGTATTTTCTATGGAATGAGTGCACATAAGGATAATTTTGTTTAAAATTTTAAATACATGAAAATTAGTAATCGAAAAAAATTTTTGTTTTTTAAATTTGGACGTCAACTTAACTTGTCAATTTGACAATTTAAATTGATGAACAATTACTCGTAGACAAATAAATAAAGTGACATTATTGAATTACTTGCTCTTTTAGTCACCGAATGATGAGAAATATCAAATTAAAATTCTGATTTTCCCAACGTTTTCCTCCCTTCGAAATTACATTACACAGGCATGAGTATGGTTTTTTAAAATTCGTTAACAGGTAATAATCATATGCTTAATTAACATGACAGAATTGTAATTGTCAGTGGATCATTATTCGATATTTTCAATAAAATGATAATTAAGTTGACGTTGCATAAATGTCATATGAAACATGATTGTCAAAAATTGAGATACAGCATGCAGTATTTCATCTCAGATCTCATTTTGTAAAGTGTACGAAGTAAAATAATGCAAGCTTTATCATATGTGCTCTTACTTTCAGTTCATGTATGTCATGAGTTACAAGCTTTGTACTTCATTCTTGTACCTTCATTTTATCAAGTATTTCTCTCTTTTTTAATTCTCAAAACCACCTGTAGTCTAACTGTGGGCGAGTAAAATCTTTTCAAGCCATATTATCTCTTAAGCCGAGCTCTCTCTACTATAGCGGTTTTCTAGTTTTTGATGAATTTAATTAATTTATCAGAGTTTTTTTTTTAGAATTTTATGTCTTCATTCGGCAAGATTTTTTTCGACAATTAAAAAAAATAATGTATTTCTTTTTTTTTTACAAAATCCACGAGTCATAATAAAAAAAATCTCATATTTTAAAAAAAAAGTAAGGCTTAAAATCAATTAATAAATCGTAAAATTAAAGAAAATCCTTAATTATTTCTACTCAATAAAAAAATACCATAAAATTTTAATATTTTTTTAATGAAAAATTAAAAAAAAAAAAATTAAATTAATAAATTTTTAACGGTCATAAAATTTGATGTCAATATTTTCGCTTTATGCTTAAATTAAACCGCGATTTCTTTCAATATTTTGATAATTTTTTTTCTTATTTCAATTTTTAATTTAATAACACGCGACCAAAAATAGAAAAAAACCATTTTAAATATTAAATTTCAAAAAAAAAAAAAATCTTGGTTTCATCTAATATAACAAAAATGTCAAAAATTATTAAACCACAAAATTTCCAGAACACAGAGAGAAAAAAAAGCAATATTTAGCGTGGTTGTTTAGCGTGCGGCGGTTTGCCTTCATTTTCAATCTGTAAAGCAATAAGTCTATTATTATAACATTAAATTTAGTGTAAAGTTAAAATTTTATCCTATAAAAGTCCTTGATACAAAGTTATCCCGCGTAACATTAAAGAATATTAAAGAATATTGATAAAAGCACGACGACACCCTAAAACAGAACTTCCGTTCTATCTTTGCGTTCTGCAATGTAATTTTAGGGTTATTTTTAGTCGCGTTTCAGCTCATAACTCACACATGAACATACAAACATACTCCAAAAATGTATTCATTGCATAAAATTCTCATATTTCCAATACTCATATTGTTTTACATGCTCTTTATACAAGATAAAATACAAAATTTGCGTGGTACCGCAAAATTTTTATATGAAAAATTTTTGGATGGAGAAAAAATTAAAAAGAAGGAAAAAATGAGGAACTTCTTTTTTTTTTTGAAGAGTTTCTAATAAAATCTAATAACCGCGAGGTTATGATAATTTTTTTATTTTTTTTTTTTTTTGCCTGAAAACATTTACAAATTGGGAAGAAAACTTTGGTTCAGTTTTTTTGAATTTTGGGGAATTTCCAATAATGAATACAGAGTAATCGAGAACAAAAAAAAAGCAGTTATTCAGGTTATTAAAAATAGCGATAAAATTTTGAAATAAAAAAAAACATTTACCGTATAAAATTAAAATTAATCGTGATTTTTTTTATGTTCTTATTTTTTTTAGTAAAATTCGGCAATTAAGGGAAAATTTTCTAATGTCTTGTATTTTGCCATTAAATCGACCATTATTTTTCATAAAATTATTATTGTCTTGGGAACTAATTTTGATTTTATATATGAGATAAAACTGATTGAATACAATAATTAAAATAAAGGCGAATTCAATTTTATATGTGGTTGTATTTTGGAATGTTAGGGAATTTTTGAGAAAAACACTTACCAAATGACTGAAATCTAACAAAGAAATAAATAGTTATTAAATATGGAAAAAATACCTGTTACGATTCTTGGTTGAGGGCTTCGACCCATTTACTACAATACACAATGGAAAAATATTTTCATATTTGACCCAGACGGGATATGATTTAAACTGGGTGTGAAAAAGAACGATTTTATGAAATTTGATAAGTTTCCGAAATTTTGTGATTTAGTACCTCCATTTTGTTTGTATACGGTTATTCATGTGGTTAAGTTACTGTTTTCTTCTAAAAACCAGTAACATTTAACCCATAATAAGCATTGTTAATTTTATTTACGATCAACAGTACCGGGGTTGTCATACGCCCACAATGATTATGTTTTACAATATTTTTTACATTTTCAAGTTCTATCAGGCTAACGAAAAAATTAATACAATTGCTATCGTCCTCGAATACATTTGGCAACACTCAAAAATTTTTGACTCAAATAATTCGATTTCAAAATATTTTCAATGTGACAGAAAAATAATTAAAAAATGTTATTTTCATATTTAATAATAAAAAAAATTTTAATTTGCTTAAAATTGAAAATAATTCGAATATGTCCGAAAGTTTATTGCATTCTAACTGATAATGTTAATAGATGGCGTTTAGTCCGTGGAATATTTAGTTATTTTGCTGGTATCTTGTCAGCTCTATTTTTTTGGCAAATATTCATCATAAATTTGAATTTTTCATTGGACATAACCAATAAAATTTTAATAATTTTAATATTAATTTTGGGTAAATTTTTTTAAAATTTAAAATCATTCAGAAATTACTAATAAAATTTTTAGGTCCCGGTTTTACATTTAGTAAACGAATTCGTTGCATAATTTGCCTCATATATTTAGGTTGTCTTGGAAAATCTGGACGAAGTTATTTGAGAGCATTATTTTTCGCCTTAGTTATTTCAGGTAAGTGCATACAAATTTTAAAGTGTTGTAGTTCTAAATAAGTTTTACGCTCATTACTATATCGTATTTTTTAGGTCCAATAACTAATATGGTTTTGAATACTAAAGAAGTAGTTCGAGTATTCGCATGTGCTACTATTCTCACTTATAATTTAACAAAAACACGTTTTGATTTAATGACAAAACCATTTACGAAAGCTGTCATTCTAATGAAAGATGACATGCATCAAATAAAAGATTCATTGAATGAAATTGAATCAATTATAGAACCGATACGTTCAGAAATTGAAGATGAAGAAATTTTAGAGAATTTCATGAATAAAACTGTAAATAAAAGGCAAACTTACATTGAAGGCGATCAAATGAAGGACGACGATGAAATAGAAATTGCCATTAAATATCAAAAAATGTATGAAGAAAAATTTCGTCGGCGATGTGAAATGCAATTTGAGAAAGGAAAAAATAAATGTATTGAAGCTTTTGCACAAATGTATGATAAATGCATGGAAATGATGCCAATTGTTGTCAATTATTTATTATGTTGGCCAATGAAAATCGATTTAATGTGCCATATGTCACTTGGTACCAGTGAAATATGTGATCCTAAAGATGCAATAAATTCGACTTTTGGTGAAACATATTCGAAAGTAAAAGAAATCGGAGAACAATTTTCAAAAAATATTACAAATGTTAAAGTTAATTATACTGTCATTAATCCAAAGAATATTCCTGGTGTAATGTAAGTTTAGTTACTAGTTAAGTTCTTAAACCAATTAATTTCGGCACTGTATATACCTAGTAGCATCACAATTTATATTGAATTTCTATTATAGCTCAGCCCAAGAGACCGGAGAACGAGTTGTTAAAAGTTTTAATGCAAAAATTAAATTATTTGAATTTTGCATAGAAATTATCAATAGAATTTTAGCCTTTATATTCGTGAGACTAGTTATAAGTAAGTAATACTCATTAATCATTAATCGTTAACATTTACCAATTAAAATCAAAATTATTTTGCAGATTCCTATAAATATAATAAAATGTATTTGAAGAATATTGATTTCGATAATCTTTATATTACAAATTATTTCAAGAAAATTGATGAGAGAAGGAAGACCCGAAATAATCACACTCTACTACCATTAAAAAAGGTTTAAAATTGCTTTTATTTTAATGTCTTATTATTAAAATTGCTGTCATAATTTCAGTTCGAAAGAAATCTAATAATTGATCCAGAAGATCATTCAACTAAGACTAAAGCTGAAAAATCTAGATTTTTTATAAATTTATTAAAATTTTTATTAGAATTATCAACTGTTATTGTATTTCTCTTACTAGATTATATTTTTTATTATATGCTAAATTTGATTCGGAAACATTCAAAAATTACATACCATCAAAGTGGTTCACATAATTTAAATTTTCATATTAATGGAACCGGTCTCATAGCAAAATTATTGCGTTCTTCATTATTGGCATTCAATACAAATGAAAGTATTTCAACGTTCTTAAGTAATGAACCGTGCCTACCGAAGCCTTACAGATTAGAAAAAATGTAAGAATCTGAAACTATTTTTATTTATAAATTTTTATAATTAAGGCTTGTTGATTTCAGGTTTTATACCAAATTTTGGGGCTTAGTTATTTTAATAATCATTTTAATCTACCATGAGATTCCATTGATGAGAACAAGACGTTTAATTTGTTGTTATTTTTATCCGAAACGTGAGAAGAAACGAATTTTACATTTATACAATTCAATGTTGAAACGAAGACGAATAATTTTGGGAAGTATGAGAAATGAATTGCTTGAAAAATGTCAAAAAAATAAAATTAAACAGGACATGAATTTTTTGATTGTAAGAATTTTGTCAATTTTCTCATTTTGTATGTGAATCAAAAAAAAAATTTCTTTTAATATATTAAAAGTTATTTAGAATTTTTTCTTCTTTCTGACAAAGATTTCTTTTGTAGTATCTTCGATTGAAATTTCCAAAGCAATTCACCTGGCTAATGTATTTCAAGTATGCACGTAGAAAATGTCTGATTTGTAATGAAATGGAACAAAATATTAATTTATTGAAAAGGAATTCAAAGAATTTGAAAAATTTTGAAACTAGTATTGGAACTTATCATATCCTAACAACTGGTATAATTGAATGTCCAACAAAAAATTGTAATGTAATTCATTGTAAGGAATGTTGGAGAGATATAGGTGAAATATGTTTGGCATGTTCAAAGCAATCTGCCTGATACTCTAAGAGAAATATGAATTCTGTTTTATTTTTTTTTGTGCATAAATAATTTTAAAAGAAAATATTTTAAGAAATTAAAAAAAAAAATAGAATATTTTTTAAAAAGGATATTGAATATTTGAACTGGTTTGGAAATAAAGCAAGCTATTTGAAATATTTTTTAAAATATGGGAAAATATGTGATAAAAAATATTATAATGAAATAATTGTCTTAACAAATAGAATCGGCAGTCATGGCCTGTGTTAATAGCTTTTATACGGCAAATCAGAAAACACGTTTACAAATTTTTGAAAATTTCTAATGTACCTGCCCTATCCGCGTTTCAGAAATAGTAATAAGAAAGATAATGATTCCCTGCCAATAATAATTCATTCCGAAATCTGTTTAGTCAATATGCTTTCTGTTAAACTGTTTTACACCACGCTGTTTAGTAAATTAAATTTTTGAGTTTGTTGCGTCCCAATAACTGCACTCTCACTCTACTCTGACTCTTAGATAATTATTTTAGATTGAATACTTTCTTTACAATTTTATATCTCATCTTTCTTTATTAAGATAGGGAACACATTTTTTAGAGGTAATTAGAAATTAAGGTGCTGGACACATTACAGGGAAATCAAGCCCCATTTTTAAACTATACCTAAGGTAATAATTTATGATTTTTATTTTTTTACTAAATTTTCTTCAGATTTTACATTTTACCTATATTTTAGAAGAAGAAGAATTACTTTAAAGACTTTGTGTAAGAACCAGTTCACATACTTTTGGAGTTCATTCAATTAAACAGTTTTCATTTTAATATTTTTAATTCGAACTTCATATTTAATATTCACAAGGAACCATAGGATTTACAACAGTTTCTAAATTTTAAAATAATTATGAAAATGTCATTGAAAAGTATAATGAAATTGCTTAAAAATCAACAAAAATTCCATATTAAAAATTCAATACTTTCCCAAAGGATGCATACAAGGTACAAAAAATATTATTTTGAAATTAAAACAAAAATTCTATTATTCACTGTCAGATTAAATTACCAATTTAAGAAAAATTACTGAAAAAATAATTACAAATTTACAACAAATTCGATGTAAATTAAAAAAAAAATAAAAATATCCTTTTGCCGGACACTAAAACAGAAAATTTCATATCTAAAAATTTACAACCGAATTCAATTTCTAAATTGAAAACAAATAGATAAGAAAATTTTTCAAGAGAAAAAAAAATTTCATTATCAGGATTTTTCAAATTTTCTTTTTCTATTTTCACTACAAATTTGATATCGAAGCAAAAAATAAAATAAAAAGGACCAAAAATAAGGACCAAAAATGATTATTATTTGAGTTTTTCAAAATGTAATTATGATTTTTGTGTAATGCAATCAAAATGTGAAAAAAAGTAGCAAAACATTTTTGAATACAGAATGGTGTAAAATTTATAGAGAGCAAAAAAAAAATAAAAGGATATTCGGAAAAATTTGTTACAATAATTTTTAATTCTAATAATAATTGGTCCAATGATAGACCATGATAGCATTAAAAATTTTTATAATGTTATAGAATTTCCAATTTTCACATTTATTACTGTAGGAATTCAAAAATTAGAACCAATATACCAAATATCCTTAACGAATTTATGCTAGGAGAAAAAAAAAATTAAATTCTCTTTTCATACAATCAAATTATTTCTCTCTTATTCTTGTTTTTTGTTTTCTTTCACACTCATATCATTTTCATAGCAATTTCTAAATAAATTTTGACTCTACATTTATGTCCTTACATTTGTGTGTATGGTACATGGCATATACGACTTTAACGTAACACAACGTTCATATACAGTTGTTTTTTGAAGATTTTTACTAATAAGGACATTTTAGAATTCTGTTTATTCTGACCACATTAAGTAATTAATACCTTTTCTATATTTTAGTTGTAATTATTTTCTAACACAATATGTATTGGTAGGTGAGTGTGTGCCAAATGCAGAGAAAACATTTGTAAATGACAGTTTTACGCCACAGGTGTTAATATTTGTATATATATACATATACGCTCACTAAAAGATAATTTTGTTTGTTTTTGTAACATTGTATAATAATTTTTTTCTTGCTTTTTCTTCCCCTAGAAATGAAATTTCAACATTAAATAATTATTCACATTTAATTTTCATTATGGAAAAAATGCATGGGTGCTATTCTTTTCTACAAAATAATATTTTCAATTTCAATGTAATTAAATGGGACATAGAATAAATATTAGTTTTTGGTAAAGTATCCTTGTATACACATACGGGTTAGTAATGATTTTTAATAATAATTTGTAGAAATTTGTGTAACATCTTGTTATTTTCAAAAAGGTATTGAAATTTTTATTGTGAATTTGTGAATAGATGTCGGAATTATAGTACTGCGATTTGAGAGAGGGAGAATAGTATATTGTTGGCCATCACCGTTGCATTTCCGCTGTTGCAAGCAGAACCAATTTGTAATTATGTTTTACGGAACATTTGCAATCATAATATTAATTGTACGAATTACTATAATTATAGGCACAGCTGGAATGCTACATAAGGCATTGAACTAAATACGAACAAGAACGCTATGTTCTGCTTATAACAGAAAAGGGATTTGACACATCTACGTACAATTAGCAGAAAAAAAAATTAGATAGAAAAGAAGAAGTCAAATACCTGCGCGCTTCTTTTTAAAAAGAAAAAAAAATACTCTAGTTCCAAGGGCTAATGAGGCATACTCATGGTAAATATTTTGCTATATATTTTAAGCTGCTTCCCATCCACAATATCATAGATGAATGTCTAAGGTTTTACTCCAACTTAAAAGAATTGATCTTGATCGCTCCTTGTAGTAATTTGGAATGAGTGAAAAAACTAGAATAAATCGTCATTGCAAGGATCATAAAAACCTGCCAGATGGTCGCAATAAATGTGTTTTTGAGATTTAAATCCTTACACTATAGTAGTAGATATTGCCAAAATTATGTGATCAAAGAACTTCGGAACACTTTACTTTAAATAAGGTAACAGAAACTCCGTATTATTCGCCCTAGGGTGACACACAATTAAATTATACGCCCACGACTCATGTCTGGTTATCTAGAGGAGCATCCAGTTCTGTTTTGGTATGTTTCTTGATTTGGTGATAAAGTGTGAGGCTTAAATCTGAAACTTACATATAAGTAGAGTAGACTATCAAGAGGGCATACAACATTTAAGGATTTAAGAATTTTAAATTAAGCGTTTTTGCCCTAAATTTCTTGATTTTTGTGTCTAAACCTTTAATTTTTAAAATTTTTCTATACTTACCTGTAATATGATATTTTTGCTCGTACGTGCTATAGTGAGTTTAAGATAGAATACTTGTTATATCTGCTTGCTTGAAAATTTATGTTCTGATCCATAGAAGTTTTTCTTTATAATTTATTATACGAACGTGAAATGAAACAAATTTCCGGCTTCATTTTCACATTTCAAAAGTTTTCCAACTGGGTGGAGGCTATGCGATTTTAATCAATTTAAATCGATAAATACACGTTTAACATAACATTTAAACCTCTTAAATATACGAAAGCATGAAAGGATTTCTCCACAACTTTAAAAAGCGAATTATTCTGTAACAATAACTTTCAATAATCAAGTCATAAAAGAACTACAAGCCAGCAAAACCCCCCAAAAATATTATTAAAGAAAAACTATGGGATTTAACAACCGATACAAGTTTGCTATTATTTTCAGCTTTCATCAATGAATAGAAATTATTGGTCCATACCTGCATAAGCAATTGTGTTATATTTTTTCTATCCAATTCTCAATGATACAAGATTTTGCGACGAACGAACCGAAATCGAAAGGACATCCGTTTAACTATGGTTCTTCTCTTCATTTTCATCCTTAATACGCTTTTCATACCATCATTGATAACTTTTTGAATTTTAAATGTTTTCAATAAAAGAAAAATAGGAAAACATACAAAAAAATAAAAGTTTAAAATAAATTTCATCGTTATTTTCAACCAAAATATATTTGTTGTAGTGTCCTTATCAATTTTAGTATTATCGCCTTAAATTGTTAGCACAATTTACAAAAGGATAATGGAAGGTATAATAATAAAATGACAGCAATAAAGAATGAACCTCTTATACACTGGTATATTTGCAAATAGACCAAGAATAAAAAAAAAAATTTCAAAAGGGATAAACTTTAAACATCGTTTTCATAATAAAGAAGATTTAGGCTAATTATATTGGATGGGGTTACAATTGACTCATAAATTTTAATGTTATCTCGAAAGTATACAAATAGTTGCAAGAAAAAAAAAGAAATGGAAAAGTTTAAAGATTTCTTTTTTTCCTTTACTTGCTTAGATTAACTTGAATATTTATTAAGAGATGAAGTTGTTTGAAAAAATTTAATTGCTAATGCAATTATTTTACAAGTGATTTAAATATTTTGAGGTCAGTAGAAATACTTTATTGCAAAAGTGAAGAAAATTGGAAACTATTCGAAAATTTGCAACATTCTGCTGCTTTCCTTTGTCAAAAATGTAAAATTTTCATCCACATGAGAGAATGAACAAATTTTGAAACTATTTAATGGTACGCTCCTAAGCGGATATTGATGAAATCTTTGGATGGTCTAGAATTAAGAAAAAACATCAAAACAAACATCAATATTTATGTTCGCAAAACTATTCAGAAGCTGAGCAACAACAAACATTTTTTAAAAACAAGAAATTTTGAATTTTGAATACTTCTACTGTAATATCATATGACAAAAATTACCGTTTCTTCACAGCTTTTTCTCTTACATTAAGGAAAAATAATTGAGGCAAAAAACCATTAGCAATCACTGTTATAAAATTCAATCTGACATCTTTATTTACCTTTTAAATGACGTCCTATTCGGAAATATACTAAAGTGAGAGTATTCAAACTTAACAGAAAAGACACCACTAATATTTCGAATGTTTTCCAGTATAACGC